TTTTCTTTTGATGATTTTGAATGTTAATGCATATGTAAATGTTTTTCTTGAACGTTCCTTACGCGCAAATGAAGGTCATATTGGTGTTAATGAGAGTTTGATGACCATAGTGAAAGAAATTTGGACACAAATGAATGTTTATTTTCTGTAAATGAACAGCAAAAGGTGTATAAACCAGGAATAATTGAACTGTACCTTTGTAACTTTCTAATTCGTCTTTCTTCTTCTGCACGGAGGTTTTTGTTGCAGAGGACTGAAAAAAGAACAGCGATAAACTTTATCTAGTTCTTTTTAGAATCGACAACATCTAGAGAAAAAAACATCAACAACAACAAGAAAAGAAAAGAAAATCACTAAATTTCCTGACTTTTTCCTGACGTTGGAAAATAGAATCCATTCCTTCTGACTTGAGGAAACATTCCCATTGACTTCTCGTCATAAATCAAGTTACACTCTCTCTTGCTTAAATATTTTTGTTGTGATCCAGTTACGGTTCTTAACCTTTTCGAAGTGATAAGTTATTTGGCGCCAACTGTTTTTATTGAAAGCGAACAGTACAATTCTCCTTTTAACGTACTGATAAAAACAAGGAAAGTTGATCAAACGACGTTACCTTTAAAACCGGGTGAGGGATACCTAGGATGTCGCAAAGTCTATTCCTTATTACACGAAGCTCTTCTATACTTGCGTCCCTGAGAAAACGTTTACAAAAGAATCGGCAGTTACTATTGAATTACAGTTCATTTAATGTCAATGCGTATACAGGAAACTAAAGTTTCTTTTTTTACCATGCACGTTATAAAATCAAACACAAGTCAAGTTTGCGGCATAAAATATAATACTATATGCAAATCACATATTTACTGAAGCACGTTTCGGACAAACTCCACCAAAGCTGTATGGAAAAAACAAAACAAAAAAGACAAAAAAAAAAACCAACAAATAAACAACAAAACAAACAACAACAAAAACAAAAAACAAAAAACATTCATCTCTTACCAGGAGGTTTCGCTAAGTATTACTGAAACTTCGTCCAAACTTTCTTCTGGCATGATGTCATCGTAGGTCAGGACTGCCGCGTACAATTGGTCAGCGGTGGTTTTCCGAACCTAAGGATAAAACGTTCAATTACCATAGGCAATATTACATTTATTACAGTACGGAGACTTTAACGTAGACACTTGACACTTTTTTGGTGTATTTTGTTTTGGTGTGTATAAAAAGAACGAGGACAGTTTCCTACAGATGTAAAGCGAGAAAAAGTAAACTTATCAGACCAGCTTTTAATTTCATATGTTTGCGACAATAATTTGCATTTGATAGTGACCTCTGCGAGCTGTAGTGAAACAGTTCAGAAAGAATTTAGAAATTACTTGTCTGCAGAGTATTTGAAAAAATATAAGATCTTAATTGATGGATTTCTTACCTGAGGGTATTTGTGGCAAAGAAAAATGCAAAGTTGCTGGAAAGATTTCGTTCGTGTCGACCCTGGAAACTGCAACAGGCCGCAAAAGCTTGGGAACAAAAGAGAAGCAAATTCAGACCAACTGAGTAAGTGTAATTTTTTTTTACAGAAAGTATCTTTCACATTAAGAGCGCTGGCGCAATTTTAGACTATTCAAGGTGCTGGTAAGTGACAACACTGTACAACAAAACGCAAAACTTTTTTCGCAATAATAACATAGGCCATTCCGAGTTACCTTCTGCCTCTGTTTCATAACGAGTCTTCGTGTAAAACCTTTCATATGAAAATGAGTTTGATTTGCATGAAAATGAACCTGTTGGCGGAACACATTTCCAGATGAATGGTGACGGAGACTCGTTTTGAAGCAGAGGCAAAAGGCAACTCGGAAGTGGCCTGTTGCGATTGAAGTTGAACAACCAATACATGGGAGTAATCTTGAGTAAATTCTGTTCTTACACATTGACACTCGTGATCAGCTTCCTGGCGTCACCAAGTTTGAAGATCTCTTTCTTTGTGAGGGTTAACACAGTCTGAGGAAATGGATGGCTGAAATGAAACGAATGGAAGAGATGAAAACTGGAGTGAATGACTGGAAAAAAAGTCCATAAGCTCAAAATAACAAATTTTCGTTGCGAACTGTCCTGCATTCTCTTTTTCTGCAATGAGTTTTTTTTTTTTGAGAATTTCAAGGAACATCAACGATCCTATGTTAACAAATTTCCCTGGTCCGCAAATGGACCTTTACGGCGATACGGCGACCATTTTGAATTCTATTGTTCAAATAGCTATTATGTGATGTTCAGGGGGCAAATTAGTATGTATTTACCCTCTTAACATCCCATAATAGCTATATGAACAATAGAATTCAAAATAGCCGCCGTATCGCCAAAAGTCCGTTATGTGCTGGTTTTATCCAATTAATAATTCACCAAGATTGACTAATTATGCATTAAGTAGTAAACTTAGGGAATATGGATTGATGAGCCTTTCACGGACATTAACAGTTTTCCTGCTCGTATTCGCAAATGATTCAGTTTTTATCGTGGTCAGGGAATACTGTATACCTTTCATCCTGCGTGAACAGCTCAAAGCATCCATTAGAGAACAGCATATCAAGCATCTTAAACAAAGGAACTATGATTCTACGATTGAAAACAAGAACGACTTTAGTTATAGAGAAAGAGGTGTAATGGGCGCCGAGCGCGGGGAAACATTAAACTGGCGCCAACAGCAAGAAAGTTCTAACTGGTACCAAACTCGACAGAGTCGCTACATCAAAGCAGAATGCACCTGAATTCAAAATTTCGAGTAAATAAATAAAAAAAATAGCTATAACTTGCCTGTCATTCTTTTCATTGTTTCGATAAATGTCCAAGAGTGTCTCAGCAAATGCAGTCAGATCTTTCTCGCTAGAATGATATGAAATCAGATCATATGTTAGTTCATTCAACTAAAGGCTGCCTGAATATTCCAGGTAATACATTCTGCTTTGTTAATACCTGTCATTAATGCCTTTTAAGAAACTCAGAAGCGACGTATAGGAGTGTCGAACCTATAAGACAAAATGGCAACAATATTCATGGATTGTCGACAGAACAGAGCTCAGCCAAAACATGTAAGTGAAAAAAAAAAAATAAAAATAAAATAAAACTTTCTTCAGCCAAGTTGGCCCATTCAGCATAAAGCTGGTATCCAGAGGGACCCTGGTAATAACTATTACAATCATAAAAGTACAAATAACGTGAAACGTCTACATCCACTTCTACAGTCCACCTATTGACGTTGGAAAATGGCTACTCAAAAGTCAACTACAAGCATGCTTTATAACACGTGACTGACACATTACTAGGCACGCTGAACACGTGCTCATTTCCTTTCTAGAGGTTACGCTCAGAGGGATCTACAATAACATGGGTTATTTCCAGCAGCCTAGGGACGCTTTCCATTCAACCACAATTTCAAAACGGGGACAAATTGTGCAAAAATGTCCTGGGAAAGTTTCCAGATAATCCGGAAATTGTTGAATTTTTCAAAAACCGAACCATTCAACCGAAAACCTAGGAACTTCCGAGAAGGAAGTCAAATGGAACGGAGGTTCACGGTAAGAAGTTTCCGAAATTTTCGGAGTACCTCGCAAGGTTGTTCTCTTTTCCAGAATTACAGGGAAATACCCTTCCATTCGTCACTGGAAAAATTCCGGAAATTCAACCAGAATTTTTCATCGTGTGGAAAGCGCCCTAAATTACCTTAGAGTTAATATTAATTCTGTACTTTCTAGTCTTTACAAAAGCAACATTAAAATCAATTAAATTACCACAACCACAGCCTTAGGAAGTTATTATCATGTTTTCATACACACCAACGATTCGGTCAACCCTCCAACGCTGACGGTCAAGCCAAGTAGAACAGACCTTCTGTATGATGACAAACCTAGCAGCTTCGTTATCCTGGGAAAGCAATCCGCAGGCGCGCTCCAATTCATCTCTAAACACTCATTTCTACAACAAAAGCAATAGAATTAGCACCAGGTTTATTCTTAAAATATTCTTAAAATTTCGCAAATTTCTGCCACGATATTCTTATAAATCATATTCTTACAAAAAAGAAAGAGTGTACTTGCTGAAAGCAATTAATATCACCTTTAATAAAAAGTAATGGCTGTTTGTTTGACCGACTGCCGCGAATCAATCATGTACTTACCAGTATTAATTCATGACCCATTTAGAATAGAAAAGAATTCGTCTTCGCTCAGATTGATTTGCGCATATAAAAAAAAAAGCTTGTGAAAAAGATGTAAAGCTATAAAACACATAACAATATGTTCTTAATTTTTTTGAAAACCCTGCGTTTTTTAACCTAAAGTCAACTTACCTCGGAAAAATTTTAAGAAGTTCTTTGTGGTGAGGTATATGGGGCAATAAAGGACTGACAAAAAAATAAATAGAAACATAAGTTAACAAATTGAAAAAGGTTATCCAGAAACAAGTGTCAGTGCTTTTAACTAAACTGTTTAAACAAAGTTTATATAAAAACAAAGCTTTATTTAAAAACTTCTCTTTACTCGCCACTCACCTGTCCATATAAACAAGACTTAAGAAAATTTCTCCGGCATGTGCTCTGGTTCGATCAATCTTCTCTGAGGCTTGTTGTGCAAGGCAGCACATCACGCCTTCACAGCTGGAAAGAAAAAAAACAAACAAAAAACTTATGCAATTGTGTACTTGATTGAAAGAACCATTTTAAAATCATTATGAATCGCTATTATATTTAGCTTAATAATTAAATCATTTATTGTTACTACAGTTTGGTCACATCTGGTAACTTTATGGAAAAACTTAGTTATGGATATTTTCTCCGCCGAGGTAAGTTACAATGCGATAGGTTTACTAATAATAGTTCATTTATAAAAAACTAGAATGTAAAAAAAAAAGATATTCATGACCCGATTTTCAATGCAAAAGCAAGGAGTTTCTAACATCACTTGATATTCAAGTAGCTTGCATGTCGTTATCGGCCGTAACGCACTTCACTACTTTCTTCTTCGATTTCGCTTCTGAGGAAATTGCAAGAGCGCATAAATTTTGTCCATCCTTGCAACGGAAAGCGCACTTTCAGGTACATGCTTTCCGTTCTTTTCAGAGACAATAGCATTTTACTGTTTATTTCCATAATTACGTTTGGTTTAATTGATTCATTATCTGAGTCAATTGGTTTCGATTAAATAATTATGACGCATGTGACATTCAGCGCCACCTCATTAACTGTCTTTCTTGTAAAATCCGTTTTCTTGTTTTCTTATCCTCTTTATGTCTGTCCAAATGGAGCCAATCACTCTTTCACTAAGACAAGTACGTCCACTAATCAGTTAAAGCGAATTTAAGCATGACGCCATATCGCACAAAAGTTACCACTTAGTATTATACCGCACTATCGGACCAAGCGCGGAAAGTTCCTTGCTTATGAATCGTCGCCGCAAGGCGTCCAGAATTCTGCATCAACATGGCCGTGACCAACTCAGAACCAAACACCACTCGCTTTGTGAATACCAGGTCAGTAATTCACTGTTCACAAACGTC